GTTCGATCTGTTTTTGCCTGTTTTAGTTGATGGGTTGTGTTTTTGTGGGTCGGGTCAACCCGACCCCGACCCAACCTAAAAAAAAACTAAACAATGTTAAAAAGAAAAAAAATATGTATATAAGTTTTTATTAATTAATTAGATGAGTTAGTTTAATTTATGATTAATGAAGTTAATTAATTTTAATCAAAATAAATTAATCATATTTATGAAAATTTAATTTGAGATAAGTAGATTTATTTGATTATCTTAATTAAAGATGAGTAAATGTGATTAATTAATTTTAATTAATTTTAATTAATGTTAAGTTAATTATTTAATTAGACTAATTATCTCAATTAATTAATTTCAATTTTCAATTAACTTTAATGTTGGTCATAGTTAAAATTGTCTTCGTTTATTTCAAATTTTACCCAAAACTTTTATAATTAAGCAATTCAGTCCATGGGTTTCAACTCTTTTCAAATTAGTCCTTTATGTTTTGAATTTAGTCAAGTCAATCCATTTAATTTTCATGTGTGTTTATTGTGCATGCTTGTCTTTGATTTTGTCCATTTTTAGCCCAAAAATTTTAAAAATGTTTCAATTTGGTCTATCCCTTTTTCAGGCTTACCTATTAAGACTCAAACATAAACATGATGATTAAGTTGAATCAAAACCCCCAATGTTAAAGTATGCAACCGTGTTTAAACGGAGGATTGTGAGGTGTGCGTATGCCCTTCCTCACTCCTAACCGAACCCCCGAATCCCGATTTCTGCGCAGACCTATTTTAGGTGACTTGTCCCACCTTATAATTTGGACGAGTGGCGACTCCCTTTCCTTATATTTTTTACACTTGATTTTTCAATTTATTTTGAAAAAAATCTCAAGTGGTCGTCAACAGATAGACATATGAAGAGCACTGATATTATCAGAGAATAATTGAGGAGGTGATGGTAAAGAAATTCCAATGTCACGAAGAATATACGTAATCCATACTATTTCAGCAGTAGCAGAAGCCAATGCACGGTACTCTGCTTCAGCA